TCCCACCCCGGCCCCCTTCCCCCCCCCTTGCTCGGCCGTTTGGCTCCCGGGCTGGAAGCCAAAGCCGTTGCTCGGTGGGGTCTCCGTGTGCCCGCAGCGCGTTCCAGCCTCTGCTTTGGGTTTTCTCCTCTGGCGGGGGCTCTGATCCCTGCTGTAAATCAGCAGTCACCCTCCTCCCAGAGCAGAGGAGGCGGCTGCTTGGCCCCTTGCGGGTTGTTGCCATTGGGTTAAAGACTTTGCCGGTGCCCCTTGCCCACCCCCTTACCCCCGGGCTCTGCCGGGCACAGGTCGGACGCCATCTACTCGGCCCTGTACGACGGGACAGGGCACATCGAGGTGCTGCGGGGCCACGAGTACCTGTCACACCCCTTCGCCGTCACCCTCTACGGGGGCGAGGTCTACTGGACCGACTGGCGCACCAACACCTTGGCCAAGGCCAACAAGTGGACGGGGCACAACGTGACGGTGGTGCAGAGGACCAACACGCAGCCTTTCGACCTGCAGGTGTATCACCCCTCCCGGCAGCCCCTGGGTGAGGCCTGGGGAAGCGGAGGCAGCGGGATGGGGCGGCGGGGAGGGGGCGCCAGCACTTGGTGGGTGCACGCACCCGCTCGGAGCATCGCTTGGGAGCCGCTCCAGCCCCCGTGGTTGCCCCTTCTTGGCCTCCGCTGAGCTGGGGGCCTCCACCATGGCCCTGGCCACCCGGTGAAGAAGTGTCCTGGGGTGACGAGGCTGAGGGGTCAGAACTCTGCGGTGGGGTGGGCAGGGTCTGGGGGGTCTGCAGCTCTCGGCGGCCTCCTGGAACAGGGGCGTCACCGGGTCTTATCCCCCTTCGCAGCTCCTAATCCCTGTGAAGCCAACAGGGGCAAAGGGCCGTGTTCCCACCTCTGCCTCATCAACTACAACCGCACGTTGTCCTGCGCCTGCCCCCACCTCATGAAGCTGGACAAGGACAACACAACCTGCTACGGTAGGGGGCTGCCCTGGGACGGGGGGGACGAGCGGGTGCTCTGGAGCCAGCCAGGCCGAGGTGCCATGACTGCCCCTCTCATCCTTCTCCCCAGAGTTTAAGAAGTTCCTGCTGTACGCGCGGCAGATGGAGATCCGGGGCGTGGACATCGACAACCCCTACTACAACTACATCATCTCCTTCACGGTGCCCGACATCGACAACGTCACGGTGGTGGACTACGACGCCCTGGAGCAGCGCATTTACTGGTCTGATGTCCGCACCCAGACCATCAAGAGAGCCTTCATCAACGGCACCGGCGTGGAGACCGTCGTCTCGGCAGGTGGGTGTGGAGGGCTGACGCCCCCCACACAATTCTCCCATCAGGTCCTGGAGCAGGGCAGAGCCACCAGCTCTCCGGA